CTGCTGTGGGTGTCAAGAATTGACAGTTAACTCTAAAAAGGGTTAATCAGATTTAGCAGATTGCCATCCAAGTTTTATCAAATGTCAGGGTTTTCTCAATATGCTGCACGTCGGCAAGCTGAGAATATCATTGAGAGGAAAATGTATAGAATATGTCTTTGCCGATCCCAGGACACAAAGGGAGCTGTTTCCTGGGCAACAGAAATATCTCCAAGCTCACCAAGTTCAGGGCGATCTTTCAGCCTTCTCCGTCCCGGACTTGTGGATTTGGTCAGGGGCAGGATCCATCCTCTTTGCGGCGGGAACTAGGGGCTGTCCTGGCAGAGCTGGCCTGGGATCCCAGCCGTCTCACCTCCACCTCTCTCGCAGATGGGACGGAGAGGATGGCAGCGGGGCAGAGTGTGGGGTGGATGGAATCCAGCCCGGGAAGGTTATTACTGTCTTGGTCAGCTGCTGTAGATACGTGGACTTTGGGAACAGATGGTGCGGTCTGCAACCCAAATTATAGGAGGCAGATTCAATGGAGAGGTAAATAGTACCTACCTTCTTTGCCAACAGTGGACAGCCTTCCATGTATTTCCCAGCTACAAGATATAGTTTCAACTACCTGTATTTAAAATTCCAATTGGGAATGGTTGTATGAGTATAAAAATAAGGGGAAGCAGAAAGCAAGTGGAGCTGAAGTTTCTAGGGGCAGAGAAGAACTTTAAAACTAATGCTACTCATTAACCGTTTCAACCACAGATTTTTTTTTTTTTTTAAGATACAACCAGAGAGAGGAATTTTGGGACAATGGTCAAAAAGCCAACTTTAAAGAAGCACTGACCCAAGCCCTTCTGGGTGGTTCTGAGTTGTACTCAACATTGGCCTTGGTTTCTTCGAGCCTAGACATCATCTCTTGAAGTAAAAACCTACAGCTCACCCTGGGGCAGAGATGGCTGTTCTTCGTGCAAACCCACTTCCTCTCCCAGCCCACCTGCACCCTCCTGACAGCATTCTAGGAGTGCATGATGAATCCAGTTCAGGACCCTGACTTCCAAGTGGCGAATGGCTCCTCTGGTCACTTTTTCTCTTCTGCCCGCTGAATACAATGATGAGGCTCTAGAGGACTTTGGAGTTCTGGGATGGAAAGAGACTTGGCCCCTTCACCACCCCATGGAGAAGAGCCACCCACTGACCAGGAACCCCCCGTGGGGGGACGGCATGCGCAAGCTCTGTTGTGTCTGATCCGAGGCCCATATTTGGGTCTATTTGTTACTGCAGCCTAACCCAAGCTGATGAACACACCCATCACTTTATAGATGTGAGTGGTACCCAAATGCATTTGTTTAATAGATGTTTGTTGAATGCTATTTTGTTTGTTCTGGGGATACCCAGGCATATAAAGAGGATATAATTTCTGTCACTGTGGACTTGTGAGTTACATGGGGGCAGTCAGGTGAAACTCAGGTCAATGAAAAAAAATTAGAAACTGCCGTAAGATCTATAAAGGAATCGGGGTGGGGGCTCTGAGAGCACTTCAGAGGGGGAATTCAGGGAAGGCATGTTCAAAGAAATCGTACTTATGCTTCTCTAAAGGATAGGAGAAACCAGGCTTACGGAGAGGGAAGGGAAAGTGTTTCTGGGGGAGAGAATTGTATGTGTAAAGGCTCAGGGGTGGAAAGGACGAAGGGTTTGCGAGGAGGACACAGAGGCAGAGACAGTACGATGCTGAGTGCTACAGACATTCCAGGTCAGAGCACATTACAGGGATCCAGCAGAGCCTTGGTCAGAGACAAGCATCAGCTCTATCCTGGAGTTCAATGACCAGGACTTGTTGGTGAACTGAGTTGGGAGGGAAGAGAATAACTTTCAGATTTTAAGCATGAACAACCGGGTGGTTTGTTTACAATGAGAGAGAGACCACAGAGCAGGAAGAAAGCCAAAGTTCAGTTTTGAACACAGTAAATTAAGGTGTCCCAGAGATATTCTTGTAAACATGCCAAACACATAGTTTGAAACATAAGCCTGTGACTCCGAAGGGAGCGTGGGCGTTGGATGCACTTCTGAGGCCATCAGTGTGTCGGTCCCAGGTCCAGCTTTGGGAAGGTGCACAGTCCCCTGGTAGGAAGCTACAGCTGGGACCAAGAAAGGCCAGGACGAGCCAGAGGAGCAAACATCCTGAGGACACGCAGGCATGGAGTCAGCAGAGGTGACGGAGAAACAGAGGGCAATTTGGACAACAAATCTGGACAAATTTTCAACCAAGACAAAACTGCGATTTCCAGTAAAGAACAACTTGTTTCCCTCTCAGGACAGGAAAGGATGGCAGCAGGACACCCGGAGAAAGGGGTGGCTGGGAAGGGGATGAGGGTGTGCAGGAGGGTCATAGGATGAGGCTGGAAAGCGGGTGAGCCCAGGGTGGAGGAACCTATTGGCCATGGGAAGCATTTTTCACATGACCCTCTAGCCAGTGAGGAGCCACTAGTCTTAAAACATGGACGTGAGTGGCTCACACCATGACTTTGGAAAATTACCCTGGCAGATCATCTACATCAAGAAAGGGCAAGTGTAGCAGCAGATCTCATGGTCCAGATGGAAGGTGATGGACATGTGAAGGGTGGCTGTGTCAAAGGAAGATAATGAGGCTAAGACAGGTACAGACATTCAGCAGAACCTGGGTTCAGCAAGGCTTGGGGTTAAGACCCAAGGAGACAAAGACACCTGAGCATGGAAATAGGGTGCACTCTTGAAGCCATAATCCCCAGAGCCTGATTGCAGAGGATCAAGCATCAGCTCAGAAAGTAATTTCGAGCTCACCCAGATTCCGTACTTGTACTTTCCACTCCTGTGAATGGTGATGGACGGCGTGTGGAGACATTTCTCTAGTGCCTCCTTCATTCAACCACTTGCCTCACACGCTCCAGGCCCTAGCATCTCTCCCCTCACATGCTTCTCCACAACCTCTCCCTGTCCCTGTCTCACTGCTTTCCTACTCTGCAGCGCAACGCAAACACCTAAAACACTGGTTGGCGGTGCAGAACGTTCCTCAGGAGAGGAAAGAGACTGAACGCATAAACCAGAATCGAGGAGTGAGTGACGCCGTCCCACCAAGCGAGCAGCAGAGCGCCAAGGCTCACATGTCCTCTGGGTAGAACAGGGGAGGCTCACTGGAGGGGACAGCGGGCGGCTGGTTTCCCCCATCAAGCACAGGGTCCCCCTGAGAAGACAAGCGCTCTCAGTATTTTCTCACTGTTCGCCCAGGGCAGATGAAATGACAGCAGGAGAATCAGCCCCGTCAGGAAGAAGCTGAGTGAAATGCCCGAGAAGGTTCCTTGCATCTTTCAGGGGGTATTTCTTCCTGTTGCAAGCTGCCAACGTTTGGGGGAGAGGGAGTTGGTAGGAGCCACGGTATTCCCAGGCAGCCGGGCTTTCTGGAGACAGGAGCCCAGGGTGGTTTTCAGGTAGCCCGACTGTTAGCACCTCACACCTCAGGACGGTCCTTGGAAAATGTGGTCACCCACAGAAGAAGGTAATACGGCAGTTCTGTGAAGTCAGGAATTAGCACTCCAACGTGGCAATAAGACTTTAGCATGTCAAATAGCTATCACGGAGGAAAGAGCAGAAAGTCTTAGTTACAGCCATTTGCTGAACTGGAATAAAGACACAGTCATTGCGGGATCAAAAACGGCCGGCCTGCCGTGTCCCCGGGAAGACCTCCTGCCCGCCAGGCATCAGTGCTTGTGATACCGAAGCCTTGTGAAGTGCGTGTGCGTTTGTGTGTGTGCGAGTGATCAGATTCCCACTTTACTACAGAAATAAGAAGTCAGAGAGGTCTCAGGTCCTTATTGGTGATTGCCGCTGTGTTTGCATAAACTGCAATTTGGTTGATTTAGTTAACTCTGAGAAGCACGTCCCACTTTAAAAGAGCTAGCCGATCACCCGCACGTGCCACATTTCAGAGCTGTAACGAGGCATGATTACAATGGGATGAGAGTGTGGTTTTTAATATAACCCCAAACGGATGCGTTCAAGAGCATGCCATCCCTTCTCAAAATCATCGCTTTGCGAGTCTGCTCATGTCTTCTAGGGCTTCTGTGATTGCTCAAACAATTGTTTGATTTGGTGTTCAGAGCCACAGTATTGAAACTCCAGAAAATCATTCTGTGGCTTCCCAGCCATGCTTCACTTTTTTTTACCCTAATAGTAGTGCTCATTTTGATCCCCTACTGAATTCACAGCCCCGGTTCTGAATGACTTTTCCTCTTTTTGAAAGTCATCACCATCCAAAGCGAAATGGGTGAGAACAGCATGGAAATGCAAAGGAATCATTTTTCTTATCCTCCTGAATTTGGAAGTAAGGTTTAGGGTTTTTTTCCAAGTAGTCGCTTTGGGGTAACAAACATGCCTGCAGACTTCAATGATCATGATAGATTATTTGTGAATGAATGAATGGATGAAATTGACAAGCATTCAGTGTTTGTTATATGTCCTTTATGACGGGTCCAGGTAGGTATTGGGATGGGTCACTGAATAAGCAGTGGCTGTTGGTCTCACGGGGTTCTCAGACGGATGGGAAGATAGACCCGCATGTGGACAAGCAATGTGGGTCATACGCTTGGGACATCTCCGTCAGGGGCAGCGAGTGTGGGCTGGGACGGCTCCCACAGGGACCAGTCGGCTGTGGGAAACAGCGCCAGGGAAAAGAGGAAGACCAGCAAGGGTGTGAGCGCTGACCATCCTCTCCCTGGGGAACCAACTACGACTGGACACTTCATCCCAGAGGCCCAGCAAGGCCAGTGGCTGGGGCCCACTAATTTTTAGTGGGGCCCACTAAAAATTAACTTTTTAATTTCTTTTAAAAATCAGAAGGATGTAAGCCAGTCTGGATTCTATTTGTCTATATACAAATGCAGTCATAAAATGTAACTTTTAATATTTCTTTAAAAGGAATCATTATATTTCTTTTTGGATGAAGGGGTTCATGAAGGCAAAAGTGCCTTGGGCCCCAGAAAGGCGTAATGGGGTCCTGCTTCAGACTGATTCTCTTAAGTGATGTCTCGGTGTTGCCCAAATGGGGTGGCACAGCCAGGTTTGCACCCTTGTGCAGGGACAGCTCCTGGTTGATGTCTGCAGTGTCAGGTCCTGGCACGTCACCCTTCGCTCACTCCATGCTGGCCTTCAAAAGCTCGTTGGAAGCTTTGGGTGCAGAATCAGCGAAGTAGGACAGGAGAGCTGCTGAGCCAAGAACAGACTCCTTGTTTGCGAAGCCCCCACATATCAGGTGGGGGTCAGGGAAGAGAGCGGGGAAAAGAGGGTACTATGGTCACCAGGGAGCTTAGCCGACGAGAACCAGGACCAAGCGTCGAAGGGAGCTGCTTTGATTTTTCTTTCTTGGAAAATGGTGGATTTGGGTTGTGGGAGAGGGAAAGACATGTGTGGGTTCTCCTCTGCCTTCCAATGTGTTATCCCAAATCATGAAGGCAGACAAAATGTGGCTATCCGGGGTTAAGAGGAAGATGCCGGCAAAGCAGAGTCAAAGGAGGCTGAGATGTGAAACACCTCCCCCCACCCCGAGTGTCTAACAGCCTCCAAGAAGAGAGCACACAGGCAGGGGCTCAGATCTAGACAAGGCTCCTCAACACGGGCAGCTGCTTTCTCTGGGAGGAGGCTCTGTGGACAGTGAGAAAATGCTGGGCATCGGCTCCCGGGCTCCCGGACCCCTGCTGGCGTCTACAGCGTCACCGGCAGCTCTCCCCGGCCAGTCACTTCTTAATAAACCATGTCACCTGGAGATGGCATGGTGCTGAGCTCCTTCTGGCCTTTCTTCTTCACACCTGCCTTCTTTCCATCATCGCGGTCTGACTCTGCCACCATAGCTTTCTCCCCAGAGCCACAGACCTCAGAGATTCCGAGGCGGCTGATTCCGGTTCCCAGACCCTCGCGGCGTCTGTTCTCAGTTGTTCACATTGGCCGGCTCACCTCCTTCCAAAGAGTGGGAAGATGTCAGCTTCCTGCTCTGCCTCCCTGATGTTTGCTAATTCCTGAGCTCCTAAGAAAACCCAGCTATTTCCTAGAGACAGATCTTGAGCATGAGAAGATAGAGCGTCTGGAGGGGTGAGCTGGGGTGACGGTGCAGCAGCCTCGGGGTGCCATGGTGGGCCCGCTGTGGGGTCCACGCAATGCATCTGCTCAGTCCCATGGGGCCCGGGGCTCAGGAGGGCCCGTGCTGGCTGCCCTGCTGTCCTGCTGCTGCCTAGGGACACCTACTGCTTTTTGAAAAAGGATCCCCCAAATTTCACCTTGCTCTGGGCTCTGCAGCCATGTGCTGGGTCCTGGATCTCAGGCAAGGTCATGAGAGCAGGAACAAACTCCATGGCGGTGCCAGGTCATGTTCTAAGCTCGTGTACATGGACACATCTCACCCCGAGTCTATGAGGCAGTTACTGGGATTTATTGTTGGCTCCATGCTGCGGGGGAGAAATCAGAGGTGCAGAGGTTAGGCCACTTGTGTAAGGTCACAGAGCTAGGATGTGGGAGGATTAGGATCCATCCAATCTGTTCTCAGGGCCCTACATCCGGGGGCTGCCCAGCCTCCCCTGAGTCTGTCTCTGTGTCTCTGGGGACCAGACATTCCAGGGCTCCACTTCTGGGGAAGGGCCCTGCTTGCTTTCCAGATGGTTCTGGTGCACAAATTCTCCCATACCCTGAACCCAGTAGAGGGAGTTTTTCTGACCCAGCCGGGTTATTCCAACCTTCTCTTGTGGGAGTCTTGCCCCAGGGCAACGTCATCAAGCAGTCTCCCGCATCCTGTAGCAGACCACGAGTTCCTGCTAGCTGGACGCTGGGTCTGCCTCGTCCCTGCACCAGGCGCCCTTGTTCAGCTCCTCCTTGAATTCCATGTTTCTCCCTCGGGGTCTGAATTCCCCTGAGCCCCCATCAGTGTCTTACAACCATAGAACCCCAACGGGGCAGGACCTCAGGTGCTCCCTTGCGGCACGGTGACCACACCTGCCTCCCCGGGCTGTGATGACAATGATGTTTGCTTCCTGCCTGGCACAGACCTGACACACAGTAGGTACCCAGAGAAAGGTGGTAGTAGCTGTTCGAGCTGGAAGTTAAGAAATATGTTCCTCCCATTCTTGTAACTTCACGTTTTCACGGTATTACTGGGAATTAGTTCTTGCGGCTGCGAGGAGAAATTACATGTTTATCATACGCTCAGCTGAGAATCCAAAGGAGCTCTTTATTCTAAAGTGAAATGAGCTTTCATCTTTGACAGGTGTCTTTTTCGTAATGCTGACATCTTTCTCAAGTAGCTGCTTCCTTTAGAATCCCGGCGAGTAGCTCGTGAGTGGTGATCCGTGTTGGCAGAGACAGTCCTTCCGCTTCTCCTGCGGCTGCCGAGAAGAGGCCTCGTATGTCACATTCAAAACACTGCACGAGTGTCCTATTTTCTGCCTGCAACCCCCCCACCCTCCTTCAGAGCATCATGTATGAATGTAAAGGAAGTGAGTGGTCTGCCGTGGAGATACGGTGATGCTCTAGGCTGAATTGGGCAAATCTTTAATAGGCTCTTGTTGAAAATAAGTAAAATAATGCCCAAAGAAGTAGAATTCATAAGTCCTCATAATGCTTTCAAGACCAGATTTTTTGTGCTATTCAAATCTGGGGTTGGAGTCGACAGCAGGAAGGTCCCCCCAGCTCCCGCTGTTCAGTGGTGGCCGTCCCTGGGGGCCAGGGACCGCAGCAGGGTCCACTGGGCTCGCCTCTGGCACTCTGGGTCCCACTTAGAAATCCCCAGAAAGTAGTCTGCCCTTCCTCCACCCTGCCGGTTCTGGATGATCCCCCCAGACATTTACAAGAGGATGCAATAGGCAAATACTAAGACGACTTTGGGTCTGATGACTTTAAGTCCTTCAAGGCCCAGCAATTCTACATCAAACCCTCTAACCACCAGGAGCTTTCTTTTACTCTTCCCATCTATGAGGCCAACTCAATCAAGATGAAGTCCAAAATCTATCCTTGCCAATAGCAAAGAGCCTTAATACCTCATGTGTTCTTTGCACATAAACTACTCGCTGGCCACGGACGCAAGCTCTAAAGGACTTTGGCGATGTGACCCCATTTCAGGGCCCCTTACCCCGCTCATCGATTCCTCCTGTGCACAGGAAGGGCCGCAGGCTCCCCAGTTAGAGGGCTTTCCCTTGTCTTTTCAACCTAGAGCAACTGGTATTTATTTTATGAATGTTAAATAAAGGAAACCAAAGGATGCCCTGTGCCGGCTATCAGATCCTGCTTCCTTTGTGCCCTTCCGCTGGGCAGGGGAGCCCCGTGCCAACTGGAGAAGGAACATGGTCACGTTTGGGGGCGTTGCTTGCAATTCAGAAAGTAGAGGTAAAAGAAAACATTTTCTGTTCCTCCAGGAAAGGAAGGAGGCGAGAGGAAGATGTCAGCCCTCCCCTCGCCCTCTCCCCAGTGCGAACTGGGTGTAGGCAGGTCAGTCACAAGAGCTCTGGTAGGTAGAGTGAAAAACAGGCAGAGAAGTCTGACCTCTCTGCTTAGTTTCTGGAAGGACTTTGTTGGGGATGATGATGGGAGCACAGGAAGTGCCGTTCTGTTTTCCAAGCCAGAAAGAGAGAGTGCCTGAGATAATTCCTCCAGGTCATCGGGTGGAGATGGAGAGATCTAGAAGTTTCTGCTGCTCCAGGGGAGGACCCGGAGAGCAGTCAGCCCTTATAGTCTCAGTTGTCTACGGGACCCTCCCTCCCAGCTGCCACCAGGCAGTTCCCACCTTACCCAGATGCCTCTGTGACGGGGCAGGAGGCAGCGGGAGAAATCCCAGACATGGAGTCCTCAGCCCAACAGCCAACCTGAAGGTGGCCCTTTAAACAGAAGGAGATCCTTATGGAGCCGGGGTATGTTTAAATGGCAAGTTTCACACATTTCCAGACCCTCCTCCTACCTTACAAATCTGGGTATGGCCCCTGAAAGGACAGACACCACCAGACAGAGAAAATCGGAGGCTGGGGTTATCGCTCACCCGCCACTCTGTGGCTCGCCTGCCCCATCTGTATCTACAAAGTTGTCCCAAGGGTGGAATGGTACTGGAAAAGTGAATGTGCAGACCACGGTGACAGCTCCTCAGCCCGCAGAAGGAAGGGGCGAGGGATAAAGATGAGCAGCGCCCCCCCACCCCCATGCCAGCCGAGTAAGCCTTTTCCCGGTGTCCCTGGAGCTGAGGCACTTCTCCTGGCCTCACGTGGGAGGTCATGTGCTCCGGCTTGGCTGTCCAGCTTGATTAGATTTTTCTGATGAAGTAGCTCCTTGCCTGAACCTTCCTCGTCTCCCTTCCTTCCTCCCACACACCCCCACTACTCAGGTGTTACATTTTTCCTTCTGGCCAGCATCTGACCCCGATTACAAATGCTTCTCCACTAAACTTCTGACAAGAGAAGGAGAAATGACACATCGAGTAGGTGAGATGCTTTCAGTGGGCTCAGAACCTTTCATTAGTTCAGGAGGGAATTGTACTGTCTGTGACTAATTGTATGGCAAGAATACGAGTTGGATGCCTTTGAGATGTTCACAGGCAGCCGTAGTTAAATAATTAGCCTGAACAGGCGAGGGAGCGACACCACAGCAGCAGGGGCACGTGGGTGGGAAGCCCCCCACCCCGCACTCACACTGTGTGTAGTGTGGATTTCATATGTATAACCAGGTTAGCATTCCTTTTTGCAGAAAATCAAAGCATACTTAATATTCATTGATAGCTTCCGATTTCTAAATAAAATGGTTTTTTAAATGGTTAAAAAAAAATGCCGGAAACAACAAGCATTTTGGTTAGGCAGAAATTTATCTTCACCCTTTTTAGGCATCTGTGGCTCAAAAGGCTCCCTCTTTTAGAGATGATGATGCGAAATCTGTTGAGCTGGGAGATGGGGATCATTTTGTAGGCCAAGGTGGAAGCTTCCAGTAGATAAACTTTCAAGGGCCTAGTATTTATTTGCCAATGAATACAACCCTAATAAAAGACTGTAAAGTTTAAATGGGTACATAGTTGGATAATAACTATGGTGGTCATAAAAGTTAGTTGATAGAATCCATGGATGAGAGGTCTGAACCTTCTGGGGGAGCAGATGCAGGGAGAGGTCAAGATTAAGAACATATTCAGCGGGTTCATCCGAGAGATAAGGTTTATGGAAATGTCTGGGTCCTGGA